TAACCTCCGATCATTGATTCATCGCCACGGTACAAGTACTATTTCTCATGTCGAAGATCCTGCAAGATAGCCTTCCGCGTGTGTCGGCAGATGTGGAAACACTTGGCGACTATGTCCGAGCAACTACAGCCGCCAAGATCACTCCCCTTTACTGCCTCCATGGGCCACCAGTCCGTCGATCCCATCGAGCCTCTGTGATGGAAGCTCTGGGTAAGGTGGATGTTGACTACGATGCAATCCTTAAACAGTTAGGAGAGTTGAAAGCCGTTGAAGCCAAGTTCCGTGTTTGGCGTGCTCGACTCCGCACTTCCCTGCAACCTGTTGACTAGAGACTAGAGGGGCACCCAACAATGACTCCGAGCCAATGCGAGGTTACAGGACCCCCACCGATTTTATTGTTATCATTAAAAATCAATTCGACAATTTTTTCAATTAGCATTTTGATTGATGCGGTGAACAAGCGCTTAAGTTATATACTTAAAAGTCAGGCTCCCTCAGAATCGTAGTACGACGAATCTGCGGCATTTGAGGAACAGTCCCAATCACTTGAATGGTGTGAACCCATTGTCGCGAGATTGGCTTGGCGTGCGCAGCGTGTCCTACCCTTGAGCCAAGTATGACCAACCCCACTGTGTTCATCCCTATGCATAACTCGTAAAAATTCTTCGACAATGGGCATTGCTTTCATCGTCAGGTCATGGTGGGTCATTCCTCGCATCCAAATCCCTCGGTCCTTCCCCACCTGCTGAAGGACCAATTCTCCAGCTTCCACCAAAGACCGGCCAATGCTTTCGAAGCGCGCTTGTAAATCTGCGATCTGGAGAGAGTTAGATGTCGGCGTTTATTTGATGGAGTTATTCATCTTAAACTCACTTCTTCCTCATCCGATCCTTCGTTGAGCCAAAGGTCTATGGGTTGCTCATTGTCAGGGAGGCGCCCAACCTCTGCATTGTCTATGCCTGTTCGGGTCTGGAAAGGAGTCCAAATGGTCATTATAGGTCAAGTATACTAGACAAAATGAATATAACCTTCTTACTGATGTGACTCAGTGGATCGAGTTCTGCGGATGAGTGGGTGCGCTTCAGGTTCATGAATTGACTGAGCGCCAATCTTGTCGTTTCACGGTCTTGATCATCGCTGTCTGAGGTGTTCCCTGTGCCGTGGTCTTGGTTTCCAAGATGAGAATGCCGATATAAAGGCATAGTGCGCCTACGGTGAATTTCTTCCCAGAATGCCATAGGTGGCTTCTTAGAATAGTGCACCAAGTGCTTACAAAGATGAAAAGTATGTGTATCTTGTGTCCCACATCGGCAGGTCCAGCTGAGAACATCCGTGTGATAGTCACGACTGCTGAGCTGCTTTTTTGACAAATCATTCCATGCAGTCTTGAAGGCACGTTGCCAGCTGGTAAGAGCACGGCTCCGTCCAATTCGATAATCGGGTTCTAGCACATTAGATGAATAAATGTAGGAATTTATTGTCGAGTATGTGATAATGAATACTGTCTGGTCAAGAGGGGAGCGAGTTTTGAACCGAAGATATCCGTGCTTGAGACTTTCCAATGATTTTCGGTGATCATTGTTGTGCGCACACGTGAAAGACGAGTCCCACTGGATGAGCGTGCCCAGAGATCCCAACAAGAGTACCAAGAGTTCCACAAGTATGCCCAAACCTCGGCAAGGCCACGTTCACGGCAGAATGTATACATTTGATATACAGAGGCACGTTGGATTTCTTCCTTGGTTTGAAATGAGCCAGAAATCATTGGGAAGAAGGGATGTCGGCACAGATGATGAATGAATAACCTGAGAATCTGACGGCGATGAGCCTCCGGACAAAACACATAGTTGGGGTCCATCATGCGCTTTTCCCCTACATCCAACTGATATGAAGGGGCATCATCATGCTCACTTTCTTCAGCATCCCCATTAAACTCATTACTTTCGTCTTCCTCCCCTTCTCGATCAACACGTGCCATATTCTGGAGAACCGGGAGCGCCTTCTCAAACTCGTCCAACAAGAACCCATCCTCACCCTCTGACTCGACTCCTTGACCCTCAGCACACTTATCCGTTGCCTCATTCTGATCTGGTCCAGGAGTGTTCAGTATTTGTATACAAGTTTGCACCGAAATAGTAAAACTCACTTCTCAACAGCTGCACATCTTGATTTCCTGGCACCACCACCATCCTTTTTATTTTGAGTGTTAGAGATGGTTTAGGAGGCACCTTGCGCCCAATCAGTGAGTCTCCGAGGCGAATTCTGAGTATGGGAATAGTTTCTTGTGCAACTTTTATTTGATCTGCATGCTCACGCTACAATAGTAAGTCCTCAACAATCTATCCATATACCGGCTAGAGAGTCTGATACTCACATCTATATTTGAGAGTCCATGCCTCTGTCCAATAGGCATGAACCATTGGTCAATAAACTCGAACTGACTCCGTGCTTGGACTATGGAATATGGGGCAGGTGCACGCTTTCGAATAGCAAGTCATTTTCTCAATGCGCGAAGTACATGCCAATAACATAGCTGATAATCAGCATTGGGCCAAACTGAACGGAGGGCATTGATTTCTGAGAGGTCCTTGTCTGAAAGCGTGAAGTGTGGCCAAATATCACACTCTTCCCGAAAATACTTGAACCATTCGATTAGGACATCTCGCTTTGCATGTAGTGGTGGGTTCTTTCGCTTTGGACGGACAAATAGCCACCCTAGAGGTAACCCAGATCCACTTACTTCGCCCATTAGGACAAAGAGCTCCCAGTCCCCACCGGCACACTTCCCTGCCAGTATGTGAATTTTATTGACGCCATTCATTCAAGTGATCTACTCACAACTTGAGTCAGTCAGAACCTCCCTAATGCGTGAGCCCCATTTCCAAATAATATGAGGGACTGCAAACGCAAGTGCTTCATAATTATCTTGGCCCTTGATCGGTATGATTGATGCTCGCGGCCACCCTGAGGCAACTTCCTCCTCTGCAGCACGCTGGAGTACTTTCTGTGCCGATGTGACTGGATCATCATCAAGATGCCACTTGTGCTGGTCAGCTAATTTCCATATAGCAAAAGCCGACTTTCTTGTGAACTGGATCGGATGGTAGTTTGCGAGGATCTTTGTCCATATCTGTATGTACAAATTAGTCCCTTGGCCAATAAAAACTAAACTGTTATTTGCACTAACATCTTCAAAAGTTCGGGAATCATCGGCCTCGATCATTTTTCGTACACTGGTTGGGACTTCTACCCACTCATATGGGATATGGTTTAGTTTGTGGACAATCCGGATACTGGCATAAGCATTTGCATCAATATCCTCGATACTAATAGTGAGCCACCCTTGGCAGGCAAAGGTGTCCATTCGTCGGGTGTCACGCTGTTTTTCGGGATCTTCATGCTTTCGGTGGATTTTCTGGGTGGATGCAAGTTGCGCACAGTGGAACTTATACTGGTGCTGGTTCCCACTGAACCCTTGTCTGCCCTTATGAACATGATAACTAGCAATTGGTGAGTCGTCTATTTAGCCTAGTGTTATAGCCCAGCTCACCACCACCGATATAAAGTTTTCTCAGATATTGTGCCGGCAAGATACTTTGCATACAAGCAAAAATAAGATTCTCTATCATTTGCACTTGGGTCCTCCACAAGCGTTGGTGATGTGGGTTGTTCTGGGATGGGGGAAAAATCCTTTGGAGGCAGTAAGATGTCTCCCTGGATTATGGTTTCGGGTGGGCAGTCATGGCGGAAAACCTCGGCACCATCAGCTAGAGCAAGCGTGTTTAAGAATTGAGAGAGTGGGATGACCCCATTCAGGAACTTGGACACCCGCTCTTGTTGCCGTCCTCTTTTCTTGTGGGAGGACTTGTGTGCATTGCAGTGGCGGCAATTTTTTTGTAGTTCAGCAGTATGTGGAATGTAGTTGAAATTGTCGATGGTTTTGGTTTCCTTGCATATACCGCAAGTTTTCACCTCTTGCACCGTGGACATGGGAGGAGGTTGTGAAAAGGAGTTAAAGTTTAGTTCTCCGGACTTAGTTACATTTTTGGAATATTAGTGATGATATTATAAACAAATAAACGTGTCAGGAGGTCCTCTGAAAAATTCCATCACATGTGCATGCTAGTTGCCGGGAGTCAATTTTGGGTGCCCCTCTTGGTCAGAGTGGAGCAGACGTACTGTGTGTGTGTGTGTGTGATATCATTTTAGGCTCCGTGCCTGTGCCGATCGGCGTATGACGGATGGGTAGCGATAATATACACTGACAGGCTCATTATTTCTCCCAAATCAGTTCTCCGACTGCCAACCATCGGTGTCACCCATTACTTCCTGCAGACGCCGACTAATAGACCAACAACCGGTCACGCGTCACACGAAGGTCTTGGATTGAATTAAAATCAGCACAATTGAATTGATTGGGTGTCTCCGGCAATTCCCGGATGCCGTGGGAACCGATTGTGAGTACAGTACACGCCATCCTAATTGAAAGCGCCTCGCGCGGAGATCAGAAGGCTCTTAAACTTCTGTCCGTTATGACTTTCTCTTCATGCCACTTCAGCTGTAAAGACATGCGACATGCTGGGGGCCATGGGGTTAATTCCTTCAACATTACGAAGCTCGTAGGAGGGGAATTAAATGGCCCTGCCAATGCACAGCAATGCACTGCTTCTCCAAGGTGACATTGATGTGCTTTCAGAGGTAGTTTGAACAAACGGTATGTCGCAATGAAGACCAGTCTTCATGATGTACCGGAAATCTTTCATTGTACCAGGACAAAAAATACTTACACTATCCGGACAAGATACTTCAACGGCGATGTTGTCACTTTCAGCAGCTGCCACTACAGAACTATTCAGTAGCTATTCAGCCCCTGGCCCTGAAATCCTCGCTCTGCATGCAACCTTTGCTCATGTCTTAAACGTGCAGCAGAGCATATCGAATCAGCGCTAGTATGGCGTGACATCGCTCTCGAGGATATTTAACTCGTTGTGTTTATAGATTATAGTATCGTTATTAGAATAATAATTTGCACAGTACTGCATAGTGCTATTACACCACTGAACATACATTGGATGTAAAAGAAGGGGGATTCTGCGCACCAAACTCGGTGTCTGAACATTCCAGCTGAAATTGAGTAAGGTGGTGGCAGAGCCACCGGGGCCTACAGAAGGGATGGAAAGTCGGAATGCAACGCAAGAGATGACCCCATGTGGATTCAGACACTAAATAACTTGGCTGATGTCGACGACGAGGGGGGCTTTCATCCGGCCCTGGATCAGAAATCGAGTCCCGTTCCTACTAGCCTGAGGAAGGGAGAATATGCTGCCGCCCTGAGCGCGACGAAACCTGTCATCCCTATGATCATGCTCATGCTCATGCTCATCGCTGTATATCAGTCGATCACCATACCAGGCTTCCCCGTTGCGAACGAGATTCACGTTGTATCCAATCGGTTCGTACTGGAATGGGGCGAAGAGTTCGACTCTCCCATTGAACCAAATTGCTGGTAAAAGAAAACGGGTGAAAGGAATCAATGGCACTCTTCCTGCTGCAAAAGACCGGACTTCGATGGGCAAGTTACTGTCCGCCATGCTCAGCGAGAGGTCGTAAAAAGGACACGTTAGCCAGGACTCATCCGAGTCATGCATGGGCATTGACTCAGGACTTTCTACACCCTCGTCCAGGATCAAAGGAATGGTAGGTCCAAAGAACATAGTAGGTTTGGGGGTGGCATATGAGCAAGGAGGTACAACACCGGTGTTGATAATCCAATTGTTGAGATCGTGGACGCAAAATCGAGATACCAATTGACATGAGTCTGTTGACCAAACAAAAGCGTCATTTTTATCGTAAGCGCCGACATATCGACCTGTAGGAGAGAATCCAATCATGTGGCGCAAAGGAAAGGACGACCTGCAACGAGGTTGAAGAGGCTGAACAGTAGAAGGACCGGAAGGAGTGAACGGAGATGCTAGAGGCTTAACGGATGGATCGCCTGAAACACACAAGACTGTAGTGTTCTCGTACCAGCCCTTTTCTGGATTTCGCGGGACTCGTAAGACGAAAGAGCCATTGTCCGACACTGCAGTCACAGCAGGGTATGGGTCGCTGGGGAGAGGGCCGAGGTTCACCAAACGCGTGCTATGGCCGAGAATCGAGATGTTTCCATCAGTGTCCTCGGTGGCAATGCGAACGGTGCGACCTTGGACGAATTCAATCCAAGCGGGAAGACTGTGAGGATCGCCTCGAAATCTAGAGACCGTGCACTGATCGTCAATGTCAGCTACCTCGATTACGCCACTTCCGAATCCGAGTGCAATGTGACGACCATCTCTCGAGAGTGCTGCACAAGTCACAGTGCCATTACGAACGTCGTTGTCAAGGAACTCATCCTTATAATTGATCACTAATGTCTTTCTGCCCTGTTCATCAAGAGAGGTTGGTAATTCTCTCTGCTTCGCCCTCATGACTTCTTGAGCCTGAAGTGCATCGTCACTTAGGGGGATCAAGCGACCAGCAAAGTCGCCGGAGATGCTGAAGACATGAATGGGATCCGAGAGATGGCGATACCATTCGAAAATGAGTGACGACGATGGAATGAATGGAAGGCTAGATCTATAGAAATGCCAGGGCGTGATTTCATAAACGCATGCCGAGTCGTCGAACAATTCGTGAACTTCTCTCATGAGTTCTGTTATCCTGTGATTCTTAAAGCATAGCCCATCGATCAAAAACTCGAAATTCAATTTATTTCGCACTCACATCGCCTTGGTCCCAATCACTGCGCCGATAAAAATACGTGCGGTGCACCGTTGAGAAGAGTGAGAATAAGTTTCGTGCAAGGAATTCCCCAAACTCTCTCTGCAATTCGTTAGGGTCTTGTGAAATGAGTAGCGATCGGTCCAAGTGGTTGAACACATGTTCAAACGCGTATTTGATGTGATTGGGTCGCGCTCGGCTCAGAGAATGCTGCCACTTCTTTTCATCTCCCAAAGGAGGTTTGGTGGGGACACCAAACTCGTTCCTTTTAATGACATCATTGACAATTCGAAGGAGCCGTGGTCCAAGGAAGTGTCCTTCCGTGTCGCTAATAAAGAATACTTTGTCTTCTTCCTCACCGATGGGATCGCCCGTGATGAATTCCCGTGCCGTTCCGTGGTAAAAGTTGATGTACTTTGTGTTGCCAGAGGGAATATTGACTATTGAGCCGATGGGTTTTAGTGTCGAGTAGACTTCATCCTCAGTGATTCCTAGGAGCTGTGATATGTCATATACGCCGAGTTCCCTCCATACCGCAATAATCATTCCGAGTACCTCATGGTAATTCTTTACTACTCGTGAGCGAATTCTTGAGCGATAAGGCATATAGGCTCGTCGCATTATCCTCAAATACTCTTCGTTGAGGTCCTCAGGCGCATCCATGAGATTGAGGAAGTACTCAAACTCTGACTTCAGGACGGAACCACTTTGAGTCTGAATGCGGACCTCGCGTATGCGGATCGAGGCAATAAGGGGTAATCCACGACAAGCTGAGGTGAAGAAATTGAGATCCATGTTAGATGGTTTCCACGGCGATTCCCTGATACAGTCTTGGAGTCCCTCCTCGACCATACGGTGTATTGTGTGAAAAGTCTCATCTCTTGCTATCTTATCCACATCTTCACAAGGGATCACAGGATGTCGGTCCTGTGCTTCGGCCCGAGCCCAAGCCGAAATAACTTGCGGTTCAGGACGACAACTGACTAGTATGGCGAAGGTCGGAGGCAGCTCATCGAGCAGAAGGACAAGCTTCATCAAGGATCCAAGTGTATCTGGATCCCCGCACTCGTCTAGTCCATCTAAGACGATGATAAAGCGATCCTTCCTTGAAGATCGTATATCCGTGAGTTCACGCATCGGGTCGATAATCCAAGCATTCATCTCCTTCTCCAGAGCAGAACCCTGATAACGTTTCAACGAAGCACGCTCGCGAATTTGCCTGAGAAGTAAGCTCTTGTACTCAGCACTGAATGCCGCAAGCTGTAGAGCGAGGGTGGAGGGAAAGCGCTCAACCGAGTCAAGTCCCATCCCCTTTTGGTTCTTATCCCAGAAGAAAGACGCTGCAAGGGTACCTTGGTTGTCAAGGGCGGAGGCTACGCTCATAGATATCGCGGTTTTCCCGGTCCCAGGTGAACCACGCAGCCAGACAAACCGGTTCCTAGGTTCCCTAAGGTGACTGAGTATCGCACTCCGAATCCCATCCCGTGTGGTTTTGAGACATTCTGACTTGCTTTTCACGCGGTTATATTCAGCGTCGGCTCTAGGAAGTTTCGAGAGTTCGTCTAAAGACCGAACTGAGCAAAAGAGTCTGGAACCAAGCAGATAGAACAAACAATCCACTGACGCTCGAATTGTATTGAGGAGGTTCAAAGTCGTTGCCACCGTCTACAGCGGACGTTTTAGTCGAAATGCAACGATATGAATACGGGTTCAACAGACCGCGAAGTGCGAGAGAGCACGAGTTATGCAAGCCTTCACATCGGTTATTTTCCGAGCCGTGTTGGTCCGTAAAATCACTCTCTGAATGATCTTTTGGTTGCCAAGCATTTGAATCTGCTCGATCTGCTCCTCCAGGTCCCTGTCCTCAAGATTTCAGGCTAAACGAGCGACTGGGGAGGCACAGTGACGCACGAGTGAAATTCTTTGACTAGTGAGACTACTTCAGGAGGAATTTCGCCAGTTTGGCTTGTCCACATTTGAAGGGGTTGCAAGATAGTCTTGTAGGCTCTCTGAATCTCATCGTGCAATCCTTTGAGATTCTTGTCATTGTCATCAACAGTCTGCACAAAATGGAGGAAACGTGAATACTGTATGTTGTGATTAATGACCGGTATCCCCTGACCTCGTAAACTTGCAGCCATATCAAAATCAAGTTCGGGATTTCGCCGAGTTTTGGAATCGGAGAAAGGCTGAGAGCGGAGGCCGCGGTTTGGAGGATTAGTCTTGTGGCACCGATGATCATTTTATGCTGATCACTGCGTGAGCTGGCCGGTGGCGTGCTTGGAAACCCCGATGGGGGATGCGTGTGGATGCCCGGGTCACCCTCACAAATGATATACGCGCTGGGCTTTGCACGAAGATTCCCTTCAGGGGCACAAGGAGACGGAAGCCCTTGGTCATCAGCGGATGGCTGATAGCGTGTAGTTGCCCCAAAGAACGATCCGGGTCCGGAAGTGCTAGGCTTGCTGCGATCAAGAATTGTGTTTTTGCAAATCTTTCCAAATGTGAGGCCGAAAGGAGATGTCGATTTCTTTGAACTACCAAAGCCACAAGGTACAGTCTCATTGGCCGCCGGAGGCCCGGGATATGATCCCGTCAATCCTCCATTTCGATCATTACAAACATTGTCTCTGTCCTGGGATGTCTGGGGGATGTACTCCGAGACGGAAGAGAGCGACGGCTGCCGATCACTAGAAAATGATCCAGGAGCAGGGTGGCTCAATTTAGGACGTCGAGAGGGGATCTGAGGGCTTTTGTTTCCAAACATCGCACCGGGGTATGTGGGAGTTAACGAGCGCGTCAAGGAGAGAACAGTGCACAACTCGCCGCGCGCACATGACTTATATGGGAACGCCTTTTTTGCAATTGGATGCCCGGAGAGGTCGCGTTGACAGAGCCCTTGTGCGGGCAGGTTGTTAGTAAAACAGGAGCTACCATGCACACGGCCACGGCCTTTGGAAAATCCTTGTCACTGTATCTACGTGACATTGATTCGAGCCTACAGTGTGATCAAGTTGGCCGAATGGATTCTCATTGCCGAGGACACATTGGAATTCCACTCATCGGCCGTCACTTCTTCGCATAGCTTCAGCATGCGTTGGATCATGTTTAGCTTTCACCATCTCGTTCCTGACCCAGCCCATCACGATGATCATGAGTACCAGATAACAGCATGCCACCTGCATCTGAGATGCCTGCCTTTCTATGGCTATCATGATCAGTTCCCGACCATAAACCCTCATTAGGACTTAATAATTGAAACGACATGCAATACCAGGCGAACGTGAAACGAACATGCCGGAATACAATTTCCCTTCAAAAAATCTCCCTTTCCATTTGAAATGCTTCGTTGGAAGGCATGTCTGAAAACACATTTACTTTATCCTTGAATGCTGACACAAGTTTGACAGTCATTACTGCTATCCCTTCGAATGTTGACACGGTGGCGTAGGGATTGGCACTCCTCACTACCCTTGGTGTAACTTGGATGTTGACACAACAGTAAAGGATTGACAGTCAATACTGCCGCTGGCCCTGAGCACCTCAAAGCTGAGGATGGCACCCCACTGAGCGAGGCTATCGGCCGGTTGAAGCATCAAGGACTCCGTACCTAAGCCATTGCTTCTCTTATGGTAAGATCAGTCAGGGCCATCCTCAGTAACAGATAGACTCATGGGAGGCTACAAGAAGACGACTTATGGTCAACAAAAGAGTGCAAGGAAACTTTTCAGTTGCCGAAAACTTACCACCAGAAAGTCGCTGAAGGGCCGTATATCAGCTTGCTATATGCAGAAGTCGGCAAGGACCGGAGACTCAGAAACTGAATAGCAACTGATGGTGGCATCGTGTTATTTTTAGCCGCGTCATCTTCGAACGTGGGAGAGCGACGACGATGATAACAAGAAGGCACAACAAATACTACATGAAAAAGGCAGTGGAAATAGAGGAAGAATACGTTAGATGGACCTTGTTTTCCTTTGAGAATTTGAGAGGTTGAGAAATAAAAAAAAAGAAGAGGAAAAAGGGTGTTTGAGACGACCTGCAAGGGGATTATGAGAAAAAAAAATCAAAATCCCCTCAGTTGAATCTCTACATCAGCCACTCACGAAAAGAGAGCCAAGTGAGAGACCTCATGAAACAAACGCTACCATGCTAGATGGGGGGAAAGAGAGGGACGTGAAAAAAAAGACCGCAATATGAACAATAAAAAAAAACATGAGAACATCGATATGAACAATCGAAAAAAAAAAACATCGGAACATCGGATATGTATATGTAATAGAAACGGAACAAATCAAGAGTTGCGCAAAGGAAAAATGAAGTAGCGCTTGAAGAGGGTGGAAAATTAAAACAAAACCAACCATGAGCCGTACACAGAATATACACGTTCGTCCTTACTGTATGTGGCCTTTCGCCCTATTCACCATCCGCCCCTGCGGCTCAACGGGCATAACCCCCTCCATCGTTCCCATACTCATCTAAATGCCCACTATACGCATCCTCAGGATCGAAGTCATCGGCGTAACTCCCACTATACTGACTAAGCGTGTACGTGCTCCTAGCAGCCATACTCTTCCTGAATGGATTATTATCCAATTGATTGGGCGTGAGAGCGGGTGAAGGAACGGCAAGCGATGAAATAGCTGGAGATATCGAGTTTGTCAACGTCATCGGAGCAGAAGTGGGAGGTGGGGAAGAAATCATGGGCGATTCGGAAGGAGCGTACAGGATACGCATGCCGGTATTGGCCTTGTTTCCACCTGTGATAGTTTGGGCTCCTGCACCCAGAGTTGAACCTGGTTGCACATTAGCAGCTCGACCGGCGGCGTAAGCACGAAGAAGATCATCAGGCGACAAAGCGGGATTCATGGGTGCGCTCGTCGCGGCGAGATGAGAGGGAGGAATGGGGCTCGTAGGTTGAAGCGTAGGCGATGGCACCGCAAGGGCACCTGGACTAGCATTCCGGAGGATAGGCGCAGGTAAAATGAGTTCATTGCTTGGTCCGGCATTGTGCCTGCCAGTACGCATGAGGCTCACGGCTGGCATCTGGAGCATTTCACGACGAAGATCCTCATCCCCAACAGATGCACGGGCTTCGATTTCCGCATTACTAAAAACAGTAGGGCCTTGGGATTGTCTTGGACTAAGTTGCAAATCGGCGTCTTCCTCGTCAGAGTCGAAGTTCTGGGCTTGGTGGAAGGAGCGTGTTTGATACGGTCTATTACTACCAGTTCCGCCGGTACGACGGGTATGAGTTGTTTCGATAGAAGGGCGAGCATCGGCAGCAAAGGAAATGGTACGTGAAGTGCGTTCGGCCTGACCAACGGACGAGAGACGGGATGCACGCAATTGGTTCAACTGAGGCACCTCCTGTTCGGCAGTCTCCAAATTATCGAAGTGGGCACCAACACCGGCTTGTCCACTGCTTACTGAGGACATGAAGGATGCGGGACGACCGTAAGCAGAAGAATCGACCATGGAAGCACGAATGGCTGCATTGGCACCAGCACCAGAGATGGAACGCCAGTCGGTAGAGATCGTAGACATGCGTTGATCTATAGCTTGACTGAACCTCTTTGACTTTTCGGCGCGTTTCTTCCTCTGGTGCCTGACGTAGAGGAGGATGGCTATCGTAGCGGCGAGTAGAGGAAGGATGACCGCGGCAGCGACACTCCCGCCAGGCAACTTGGCGAAAATATTCTTCACTTCTTGAATGATGCCCCCGGAGCCGGAGGCGTTCCCTGACTTGGGATGGGCATTAGGGTCCGAGGAATTGTATGTCGCAGTCCAGATGGGACCTGTAGCGATGGAAGTCATGAAGCCGGGAGTACCGTGGGGAACGATAGCGAGCTGCAGGCTAACACTGCTAGCATTCCCCCACCAGGAAGGATTAAGGGTCATCTGCAGTAGCAAAAAAAATCAACTCTCTCATGGACGAAGAGATATGATTGGGAAACGTACTTCCATCGAGCCATGAGCATAATCAGCCCCATTAAAGGCTTGGATAAGCGAATCGTTAAGTCCAGGAGCGTAGAGATAAAGATCAACAAGCTTTGGAGAAGGACTCAAGCACGAATTGTCCCAAGCGACATTAACAGGACTGGAAGTCGACACCGTTTGATTGGTAGTAGGATTTTTATAAAAACCACCACCGGCACAATTGGAGCGTTTATCCAGATGACCGGTTTCTGCTTTGCGAGCGTGTCCACCTCCAACTTTATGAACAGGGTGTCCGAATCTTGCGTTAGAGATGGGGTTGAAAACCATGGTTACGAGGGCGGAAAAGAGGGTGAAAAAAAGAGGGGCAAAGCCCAAAAGTAAGGGAGAGGAGGTGTTAGGGAAAGCAAAGCTAGCAAGAAAGGAATGAAGACGTGTTGTCTTTGAGCTCGCAAGCGTAGGAGATGGAAGAGAGTGTGAGCAAATGGACGAGCTTGTGAGAGAAGTTGGATCAATGACTTACCCAAAATGGAAAACCAGTTTCAAACTCCGCTTTAATTACCCCTTTCGTTGTTGTCCTTCAAGCCAAGCACGTTGGCAAACAGTTTAGAGATAATAGCGTCGTTTAGCATAAGGGGTTTCAACGGTGTGGCAAAATCCTTGCCGAGAAAACAAAACCCTGTCACATCTTCAACGTTGATGCAACGTTGCAATATAGGGTCTCACAGGGACAGCAACCCGGACAGGGGATGACATTGGGAGGGAAACTAGCGCGCGCTACAAGCAACACTGTAGTACTATGAGACATGCCATGTCAATGAATTTTGAGATGAATGACAACGGCAGAGCAACCAGACAGGAGACAGTCGAAAAACGCATCGATGCATCTGTCTTTCCATAAAGAAAAGACAATGGCAACGTGCGTGGAGGACGAGCAGAAACAGAACCTTGAAATCGTAGCAAAAAGAGTGATGATTACCATCCACCGTTGCCACCACCTGATCCTCCCCAACCTCCACCACCACTTCCACCGCCATATCCCCCTCCATATCCTCCTCCTCCTCCCCCACGATATCCTCCTCCTCCGCCTCCACGGTATCCTCCGCCCCTCCGCCTCCGTACCCCCCGCCTCCCGAGCTTTTAGGCTGAGCCTTGCTCACTCTGGATTGGAAGTCAACCGTTGATCGCGCGTCAGGTTCAAGTAGAGTTCACGTACCTGATTCTTCTCCCATCAAGGTCCTGATCGTTCCACGCTGCGATGGCGGCTTCCGCCTCGGCATCGGAGGAAAGCGTGACAAAACCGAAGCCTTGATGTGTAGTCCGATCAGTCCGTCAATCGTCATATGGAAGAATAGAGCCCCGAAGAACAGGTCAACTTACCTCGAGATCTTCCAGAGTCCTGATGTGTTTTTATCGTCAAAGGTGACGAATCGGGCGTGCAGGGTAACATGAATTCATCTTAACATGACAGCAAGGCGCCGCCAATGGCCTTGCAAAGGGGCACCTCATCCGATCAGGGAACACTCACTCGATCCACCATCACGATCGAGTCGACGACAGTGCCATAGTCTCCGAAAGCCTGGACAAAGATAAAGAGGATCGGTGTTGTGAAGGGGCATGGGAATATGCCAAAGGGATCACTCACCCTGCGAAGGGATTCATCGTCCGTGTGGTACGATAAGTTCCCTGTGTGAGACAAACGATGAGGACCGTTGGAAGCGGCGAAGGAAGAGACGGGTTGAAGAACGGGGGACGCACCGATATAAAGCTTGACCTCTGACATCGTGTCTGGGTTAAGCTGTTCGTTCGTTCAAAAAAACCAAATTTCCACCCGTCTCGCGAAAAAAAGATGAAGGTAGTGGTGAAGAAAGGAAAAGGAAAACTTCGAGAGGGCACTTCTTTTAAGCAAGAAAAACACGTGTTCACTTGGGGCTAATCCAATTAATAATTTTGTCCCTGCCGCGGCAGTTCCCGCTGCTAGGGGATTGTCCATGGTGAGGCATAGCGCGACAGAGGAAGGACTTGGCAGCAGCGAGAGAGAGAGAGACACTGACTGACTCAGATGCTCGCATTTTGGCTCGTGAAGTGATGAACGTTTACAGGAAGAATCAGTAATGTTGCAACACAGATCGATCACACGGGGATAATAACCCGGACCAGAATCACAGCATGATATGGATTGATGAAAGGAAAGGAAAGAAGTGTGCTACGAGCAAGAAACAGCACTACGGTACTACAAGGACATACCATGTCGAGATGAATAGCAACAGCGAAGCGAAGCAACCAAACAGAGAAGATGGACAAGCATCAGAGAGAAAAGACAAATGCGACGCGCGGCGGAGAATGAGCAACAACAACGCAATCCCTCCTTCATCGTGAAATCGTAGCAGGAAGGATGGATGGTTTTTCAATACGGTCCACTGGATCCTCCTCAATATCCTCCTTGGTATCCTCCTCCTCCACTGTACCCCCCACCGTATCCTCCGCCTCCGCCTCCGAACCCTCCGCCTGAGCTTTTGGGCTGAGACTTGTTCACTCTATATCGGAGGAAACCATCGATCGAGCGTGTTCGGGTTAATGTTCAATAAAGTTCACATACTTGATTGTTCTGCCATCAAGCTCCTGTCCGTTCAACGCGTTTATAGCCGCATCCGCCTCTTCATCGGAAGAAAGGGTAACAAATGCGTATCCTTGATGTGTAAAGGGAATGTGAATATAATGTAGGATGGCCAATGCAACAATTCACCCGATCGATGGAACAGACCGTCAATAATTCACGAATTGTATGGTGAAACAGAGCCCCAAAAACGGATCTGCTTACCTCGAGATCTCCCAGTGTCCTGATAGTTTTTATATCCGAGTTAACAAGTCGGGCGTACGGGATGGTATGAATTCATTTTAAACAACATGACGACAAGGCGCCACCAATGGCAGGCACCTCGTTTGATCAGGGAGCACTCACTCGATCCTTCATAACGAGCGCGTCGAGGACATTTCCATACTCAGCGAAAATCTGGATGAAGATAAGGAGATGAGGATCGGGGATTGAGGGCACGCCAAAGGGAGCTGTACTTACTGCGCGAAGCGTTTCATCGGTCGTGTTCCATGATATGTTCCCTATGTGAGGCAAAGACGGGGATCGTTGGAAACGGCGATGGTAGAGATTGGATCAAGATCGGGAGGACACACCGACGTAAACCTTGGAAGACATCGTGAAGTTGGGATTGAGCTCGTTCGTTCGTTCAAAAAATGTCAAACTTTCACCCCGTCTCACGAAAAAGATGAAGGTAGAAGCAAGAGGGGGGGGATTTTCGCAAAGACACTTCTTTTTAAGCAACAAAAACACGTGTTTATTTGGGGGCAACTCGTCGAGATACTTTTGGGAAACTGGTCGTTCACGGCAGATTCAGGATTGCAAGAAATCTTGGAACTAAGATGATTGGGGAAATAATCAGCCCTGGTTCCGGGTACATGGTTCTCCAGGATGCTTCCAATCGTCAGGAGAGGGTGAAAGCACATAAGGCCAGAGCTTCCGAATATGGCGATATGATATCGTCCAACACAAGTTTGGGTCGTACTATTGGATGTGCTTCTTCATGGCTGCACAATTAAAACCCTCATAAGCTAGCTCTCCGATAAGCAACAAAACTCCATGTGCACGGACGGCACGCTGCGGACCTCGTGCATGGTACTCAATCCCTCGAGATAACGTACACGGCAAATACAGGTTAATTTCGAAAGTAGGCTTCCCGAATATCCCCGGCAGCAGAATTCCGATGCATTGGACCACATACAGAGTCAGCCAGCACCAGCAATCCACGATTTCACCGCATGGTGTCCTGACAATGTCAGTCTGTTACATAATTCCATTAGCCAGTCGAACAAGCAGAATGATTGTAATATAATGGAGGCCTACATATTCCTAGCGGTGGGACCCTGGAGATCAAAGCACGAGCCTCCTGCTGAACGTGTCAATATCATGTACACGAAGCTGCATGCAAAACTTGGCACGCACAGGCTGGGTAGTTAGTTACGAGGCGAGGCGATGTCGAGACTAAAGGAGACAGGGTAAATGAAAAAATATACCGGAAAAGCACTATAGAGGAAGGGTCCTTGGAACAATTGAGGCAGATGTAGGATCTTTGCCTTTATACTTCACGTCCTCCTTGTGCCTAAGCAAATACTGCCCAGGTACCACATAGTTTCAAAATGGGATCGTAAATGACTTCTTGCAGTTGTGGCTGATATCCGTACTGCCATGTCCAATTCGTATTAGACGCTTTCACCTGGTCAACAGAACCGTTTATCAAGTCTCGTTTGGATAGCTGCTAAGCCCCTTTCGGGATGATAACGGTGGTGTGTAAAGACAGGGGAAGCGTCTAATCAGGACATACAGCAGAGGGGAACCCACAGAGATAGTCAGCCAACTAGCAGCATAAATGGGGAAACGTCATCCTCGTGAAAATCTTCAGGTTTCGCCGGGGCTGAGCGAAACATTCATTATTCTACTTGGAGTGGCTGATCATGATCACGAGTCCAATACAACGATCGCCATCGATATCACAACTTGCGCGCTGCGCTTACTGCAGGAAAGTTGGAGGGACAGCGTAGGGAATGGGAAAACAAACCTGCAATGAAACGCTGCCAATCGGTCGGAAACCTGGCAATTCACCCACGAGCAACTGACTGTTGAAGGGTGATGGGGCCCTCCGCAGCCTACATTAGAGCCAGAAGTGCTATAGAGTGCGGGCGACAGAGCCCGAAGACACCTTCCGTCACAACGAAAAGATCAAGTTTGCAGTGCTTACTCGACGGCGGTTGCATTCCTGATTTGGAGTGTGGCGTCAAATTTGAATGATTAGAGTCACATGCATAAAGAACAGAATTTTGAATCTAAATAAGCGCCCATTCCAAATATCATCATGTCAACAGATGCTATGGCTGCACCAGTGACTTTAAACTCTTCCTCGAAGGGTCGAGTATCGGGGAAAAATTGGAAAGCACCCAAAACAGCCGCAAGGTCCTCTTTTTTGTGTCCCTTTTAACCTCTCATTAACTACTAACTCTATGCTGGGGATCCCCACTCTTAGACGCACTCAGTTAGCAGAATCGTTAAGAACTACCTGGGAGGAAAAAATGCGTAGGAAAACAGAGGCTCAAGCCGTTAAGCAACTGGAGAGGGAAATGAAGGCGGAGAAAGAAGCGGAGAAGGCAGCGTGAGTTGTTGCACTCTACGCATAATCGTCGAACGTTGCTGTAATTTGATTTCCTCACGCGTCGGCCTGTTACCTCTAGTCATGTGGAGAAGATAAAGGACAGGAGAAGGGCTAAGGCGGAGAAGGAGAGGTTGGAGAGAATGAGGGCAAACGTTTGTCGGCAATCGCTTACTTGGTTGAGAGCAATCTCATCCAGGATATTTTTTCAGATGAGCCAAAAGAAGCTAGACAGAAAACGGAGAAAAGAAGGGAGAACGAAGAAAATCAATGGCTGATCAGTGAACTTACACCCCGACATTCGATATTCTTATTCAACTGTACAACTGCACTTTCTCTAATCAAAGTGTTCGCTCAAACCTATCGCCGAAAATTGACTTTTGATTCCAACAAATAATGTCAACAGCATAACGATAGCTAAAGATCCCAAGAACGATCCCGCTCTTCGGGTAGAACAAACGGTTTATCCAGTCCTGCAACGACAGACTCGCATAATGGACAAGCGGCAGCCAACAGCTCATCCAGTTCCTCCTTCAACTTGGTAGCTCTCTCCTGAAGTTGTTGCGTCGTCATACCATTCTTTAATTCCCCTCCTCCGTTCCCGCCCCATACGTTAGGAATCCCCAAGTTAATGTTGCTCGCTATCGCACTTGCCAGTGATTCAGGGATAACCAGATCCCGTAATCCTGCGCCAGCAGCAACGAACGCATTCCGCCCTGCCACAGCCGGGGCGACGACAGCGCGATTGAAGTTTGAAGACAATAATCCTCCAGGTCCATTCTCAACCGGTTGGGTGGCACTTGAATGCGATTCCTGGCGCTGATGACCCGGAACTTCAATCATTCCAGGCATGGAGGGTGCCTTTTGGCGGTGACGGGGCTTTTCGATAAGTTTCCCGGTCAACTTCATCAACTCATCCTGAAGCAGGACGATTCGCCGTAGAGTGGGGGTTGGGAGATACTCCTTGACCTGCACAATGTCAGAGTTTGAGTCAGTGTAACACCCGCATGATGTGAACGTTCAAGGCGCACCTGTCCGATCAAGCAATTAGCATGGAAGGTATGCTGACATGGAAAGACATAAAATTCTCTCGTCAAGAGTGGCAGCTCGCATGAAGCGCATTTGTCATTCTGTTCGACAGTAAGAAGACGTTTCTTGAGTTCGGCCATGTCTCGTTTGATCGCTTCTGCTGTCTTTGTTGCGTCGTTCATCTCGTTCTTGAGTTCTTCAATGCGAGCACTGTATCCTTCCAAAGCATTGCAAACTTCATCCTTGAAATCATCGATGACGACGAAGTCAGGGAAGAACGGTAATATGTCCTCAACCTTGAGTACATTTGTACTTTCAAGGAATTGCATTGCACTAGTGAGAAACATCTCTAAGCGTTATGTCACAATACAAGTCATACGACGACTTACGACTTAATGTCCTTCTTGTCTTGGACGACGTACTTTGCTGTCATCAGCCACAACTTTTTTTGGAGGATTTCATCACCTTCTGGTTTGTCTGCGTACGTCTTGGCGAGCTCAACATCTCCTATCTGTAGGGCTAACTCGACGCTATCTTCCCACATCTCCATCTGAGCATAGATGTGTACGCAAGCAGAAAGTCGATTGTTGCGCTTGCAAAGGCGCAAGGCATAATCAAGGTCATAGTATGGCCGAGACGTGATGGGGTTCTTAGGTGCCGTGGAGAGAAAGCGGAGCAAAGGACGATCGACCGATGACTCGGAACCGAGTTTCACACCTGGACGGACATCCGGGGTTGTAGTGCCATTAGGAAGCTTGCTAGATGATACTGTTGGAGACGAGGCGGGTTGTGATGACGAATTAGAGGCAAGGAACGTAAGCAGGAGGTTGTGGATCATCGGAGATGTTGACCCTAAATCAAAAATTACACGGTTGAGGTAGTGGACAGCGTAGTTTGGTGACAGAGGTGAAGGTGGAAGGTGCTGGGTTTGCAGCAACGCAGGAATGAGACGATGAGGGTCCAGAGTAGTTCGTCTTAGCCAAGATTCGACTGTCTCCTTAGGGGCATGTCGCATGAGAACTGGAGAGAACCGATAAAATAAATTCAAGTCTGACTGTTAAGAGCAATAATTATGAAATGCACGCAGAGTGTTTGCAAAGACCTTGCCTGTCTGTTGAGCACGTCGACAGCTTTGAGCCACTCCTCGTCCATGACATACGTCTCTACAACCTTTTCATAATCACCGACAGTCATGGCGTAATGGAGGAAAATGTCGGTTCGCCCATGACTTTGTATGAGCTCGTATGTGGTTTTCTTATGCAAACTAGCCTTCAAAAGAATCTCAGGATACAATCAACTAACATCGACAGGCGGGGTCACTAACTTTGTATGTGACCAAGAACTGATGGAGTTCCTCGGTGATTTCATCCCTTTCGGCTTTCAAATTGTCAACATCCTGTGAAGTGCTCTCTGCCGCAACAAGATCGTCGAGGGTATTCAGTTTTCCGAGGTAAAACTCAACCAGCCATGATGCCAGCATGGTCCGTTGTATCAGCATCTGCCGGGTAAACGCATCAACAAACGAAAAACTTAGGCACACACAAGTTACCGACGCTCTTCGGCATGGTTTCAAGCCTTTTGACGAGAAAGTAACGCAGCGCATCGCTTTCTCCAATATCATTGAAGCTGAGCGATACTTCTTCGAACCCACGACTGCTCTGGGCATAGCACTGAGCCGCTTTGATATAGTTTTGCGACTTGAAATATTGGTCACCAAGGGATGCGTTAACAACGGATCGTTGTGACGCGGTCTGACGATGGCATGAGCCATGTTCCGGATTAGACGCTAATGATTCTGGATGCAACAGCTTTCGTACCTTAGCGTATTTCAATGCCTTTTCATGATCCTCGCGCTCAAGATAAATCTTCCAAACATCTCTGTCCTCATCGTTGACAATAACCTCGAACATAGATGAATTGCTGTACACCCAATACGTTTTGCTCTTGGTGTCAGAGGCAAGGTAAAGTGGTTTCTCTGAAGGTTTCTGCGGCGCGTCCCTGAGTGCAAGATCGAGATACATAGTCACCAATACTGACCAGTGCAAGGAACTCTTCATATACAAGCCTCTCCACTCCTCCTAGATTGCTAACAGCACACACACGATCAGGGTATAACAGTAGGAAGTGGTAGTCTGTTATAAGCATCGACAGCGGCATCGGGTTCTGGGACAGTTTTGGTGAGGAAGGGGGCGTAGTGGGTGATGATGGGGCCGAGTAGGGATACGGAAGGAGGGTGGCGGACTCGATAATGTCGGAGGTTGATGGTGCGGAGAGATTTAACATGCCATAGTAGATCCCCTGTCCTGCAAAAAAAAGGTCAGAGATCTCGAATAACGACAAAAATGTGTATACCTGTCATCCAAGCCATCGTGCGAACGCTTCTTGACTTCGGGACTACATGAAGCTCAGAGTGTTGATTATTTCCTTGGAGTTCGAGAAATTCTTCACGCATTACGATAAGCGAGGCTCAGTTCTCACTTAGCGGCATCACTTACTAGGTGCAACGTCCCGATAGGTTGCGAACACTGGGTCATAAAGCTTCCCTATTTCTTCCGGCTTCCTCTCAATTATCCCGATGAACTGATAGATCCGTGTAGCAGATGTAGCGAGCACGACCAGCCGCTTGCTGTCGCCCGATGCTCCGCCAGCACCAGAGGACATATACTCTGCGTGTAATCCTGTTATAGGATGCCGCTCGGTGAAAGTGTAGAGTGGCGACACATATCTATCTGGGGTCTTGAAAATATCTTCTTGTGCGTCTAGGTGCATCTCATAAATGGTGCCATTGCGTCCGCCGAGAAGAATCTCCCGAGCGGAGGTCCGCGGATGCGCAGAGACAGAGGACTTGGATGGGGGGGCAGGATTCCAGGCCACGGACTCTATGACTAGCTTGCACTTTGGAAGCAGTCGTGCCTTCGACCATCCTTCAAACAGATAATAGTTTTCTCCTTGAGCTGTGCCAATTATTACGTGCCGTCCCGTTGGATCACAGAATATTTTTGAGATGCTCAGCTCCGCTGTCCCCCTGCCTTTCTTGACTTCGAGGGTAATGTTACGAATATCCTCCGCCCTGTCGAGGTCGATTTGTTGCAAACTGTTAGTTTTGAACGCCATCGTAATAATTTTTGAAGAAACTGTCATCGAAACTAGTGCACTGGGGAATGTGTGCTGCACAGTCTCGAGAGCGAATATAGGGTATAGATTTTGGGAAGCATAAGCATTCTGGGGCGCCAGCGGACCAGCGCGGTCAGCCAACAAGTTGAATGCCGCTACATATAACTACTTGCCAACCCATAAGCACCACCAGCCTCAAAAGCCAATTCGTCCTGGTCTCCAGCAGGTTCAAAACCCTCGTACTGAAGGTGTGGAAGTGAACGAGCCGGGGGGAAGAACGATCCGGCGTTGGTAGAATGTTCTACATCTATTGGCATACTGTAAGTGTTCTGACGGTTAAGAACATAATTGGCGGTACATTCGTCGAACATCTGGTCAACTCCCTCCCTGAGGGCCGGCGCTAAAGAGGGTCACTGAAGTGGCTGTGCGGGTCAAATAAACGTCAACTTGAAGGAATGCTTACTCTTCCAGGTTGCTTCCAGGCGTTCGAGCGCCACCGCATCGAGTAGACAGAACATTGCAATGGATATCCCTTGACCCTTCTTTCTACCTACTGGGATCGCTTTGATATTTTCCCAATGAAGAAGCCCTTTCCTCATTCTGACCGCTAAACAGTTTCAGGGTGGGTTGGGCAACAACTCGCTGGGATTCCTTACAATGAGCCATTGGCCGAGCTTGCTGGGTGTTTGGGTCCTGGGAATTGTTGCGATAGGCCATTTCAAGCCTCTGCGCTCTCAGAAAGGTGTATCTGTGAAACTTTGTGTATGTACTGCTCCTCGTTGGCTGTCTCGGACTTGCCACCAACGGGTGTCATTACTATTGCGTCAGTTCTTGACTGGCCCACCCCCATTTGCGATCATAAGTGTGTTATGATATACACTGCACCAGTACCCGTGCATAAGATATGATCTTTTTGCTCACTGTCTCAGGGTTCAGACAACATTCACCTTGCGTGAGCAAATTAACTTTGGCCACACCCAGTCGACCCATCCTATTGCACAGCAGGCTGATGGTACCAATCTGGGACCTTCAGACGAACCACTGGCCAGATGTCCAGAATGCTCCCCATAGTACATCAGCATGAGTGTCAGCGGGACTACGGGCCGGGAGTTCCATGGAGATTATAGGGGGCAAAGATGTTGCGATCCCTGCAAGGGCATTATTGGAGAAGAGACTCGACGCAGACGAATCAGCCGGAGCTTGACACACGTTGTATCCCCGGTCACACCCAAAGGTTCTCTGAGACTCACAATTACTACTTCATTTCATGTTCAAATTATTGTAAAGGCACAATTGAATATTTTCTGGCACTTGAATGGTAATCTGTGCCTGAGCAGTCCGGTTGTACAGGGAAGCTTGCGTCCCAGCAATTTCAAATGCAATCCGATAATGGACAAGGAACAGAAAGCATTTGGAAATCTTATCTTTGGATGACGAGTGAGGAACACGAACAAGAACGAATAAAGGATATGCCGAGTTGGGGCTTCATTGAAAGTGACAGTAGAAGAGGCGAAGGGTTGGGATAACTGGGGAAGCAATGGGTTGAGGCAGGATTTTCGGAGAAGTAGAAGGGAGGATGGCAAAAATGGTCCGCAACGCCAAAGAAAATGGCACGGAAGAGATAATGGGAGTCAGATCAAAGGGCATTCGCAAGAGCAAGGGTCAACACTTTTGGATATGTAGGGCGACTGAGGGTAAACAGAATCAGCTATTCCAGGGAATGACCATGTAGCTTTTCTGTGCGATTACGGACGTGAAGCAGGACGAGGGCCCAGGAAATGGCGCCGACAAATAGACGCAAGAGGGTCCCACACGCAAGCAATCAGACAATGGAAGAGGAGTTAGGAAGATGAAATCTGGAGTGACGGAGATTTATTCCGTCCCAACACCACCCGGTGAGGCGGCGGCGGCGGCAGCATTCTCTCTGCCTACCCTACGTTCCTTCTCGCTTTCCAACTGATTGTACAACAGGAAAAGCGCTTTCTCATTGGCCTCGGGGGTGCCAATAATAGTGAACATGCGCTCGCCAGTCTCATCATGTGGAGTCTTAGCGATCGAGATCTTGGAACCGGAGAGCCGTCGGATTTCGGTGATTTTGGATCCTTGACGTCCGATTATACAACCAACCATATCAGAGGGAATGGAGATATTTTGAGTACGGAGGCTCGATTGAGTCGCACCGTTTGCATCTGGTGGGGGTGAAGACGGCGGCGAAGAACTACCAGGTCCAGCTGAGTCAGGAAGACCAGATTTCCCGGGAGCACCGTTGGGTGCAGAACGCCTCTTTTCACTGATCCCATGGGTGCGTCTCGTGTCTTTCACACCCTCGACTCCTGGGTGATAGAAAACGGTACCCAAGCCACGCTCCCAATCTTCCAGCAATGATCTGGCAATCTCCTCTACAGCGCGACCGATCCCTTCCGCTGTACCATGGACCTCAACGACACGTTCTGTAGACTGTGGAAGCATTTCTTTGGAAGCGGTCATGCGGGCGCCAGACGCATCTTGGATGGCCTTGATCTTCAGACCTTGACGTCCAATTATCGTCCCCATCAGGTTGTGAGAGATAAGGAGGCGGAGGGAAGTGTTAGTTGGGGCCGGACCTGCCGTGCCGGTGACATTGGAGGAAACTTCGGGATCCAGTAACTGGCGAACAATGAGTGTATAGGCCTAGATGTGAGAGAAAAAAAATGATGGACAGTCGGGTAGTTAGGAACGAGTTAAGTACGTAAGTGATAGAAATGCACACCTTCGCAATGCCTTCGACAGTCCCGCTGACGCTGAGCACACGCTCATGTACGCCAGGGACAACCTTAGACACACCAGCTTTGACCCCAGTTTGCTCTCTGAGGTCGGCAACATGTTTACCAGCTTTTCCAATGATAACTCCAGCCTCCTTCGTGGTGACAAGAGCACGGAGAGTAAGGGCTTCACCAGTGCTGGTGGGCATAGTGTGAGTCTCGGCTTCTAGAAACGACGATTCGCAACGCATTTAGAATCAAGGCACGAGCGTACGTAGTTGTTACTCACCGTTAGCCATGCGGAAAACGGGAAGGTCAAGGGGGAACGGAGAAGGAAACAGGTGAGAGGAGTTGGGGAAGCGGCGAGTGGCAGGTTATGGCACAGGTTGTGTGGCGTGGAAGGAAGAAAAATGAAGAATTGAGAGCCTTGACTAGAGATTTGGCGGATGTAACCGTATGGTCACGTGTCGCATCGGCGCAGCCTGACGTCCAATCAACCACTGACATGATCAAGGATGGAGTAATGAATAATGCACCTGAGCGAGCCCGTAGTGTGTCTCTTGAACCTCCCCCGCCCTTTGAGGAAGTTACTGCAGGACCTGTCCCGCAAGCTTGGGATTCCGGGACACCACTTTCGGACTCAGTCTCGGCACCGAACAGTCGGGTGGAGGTGGCGACGGATGTCGAATCTGCACCCGCCGCATATCCGCAGTCACCTAGGCTCGATGGAAACATTGGCACCGGTGCGAGTCCGCCACCTTTTTCCGAATACGTGGCGGAAGCCATAACCTCGGGCAGTGGTGACATTGTCTCCCATGATCCGCATCTCAACAAAGATGGAGAGGCTCTGTATCGTTTCTTACTAAATCATCTTGAGCCTCCACGCTTTCGTCTACATTGCTGCGGGTCCCATAGCGAAGAACGTGTAAGAACGATTTACCGTTCAGATGGTTCCAGCGACCGTCGGCGCGCTAGCCAAGGTAAACACCCTTGCCACCATATCATGTCGATGTTCTAACCCTTCTCCAGAAGCAGAGACCGTAACTGTTGTTGATTTTGACTTTTATATCGATCTTACTCATTTTCTGGTCACCGCCGGAAACCCTGAAATTTTCACTTTGGCGGACTCGGAACCAGCATACCGTGGAAGAATGTATCAAGAAGTTGAAAACATTCCAGTCTTCCTCTCCCCTCACGAAGTCCCACCGCTCCTCTCATTCTGGGATAAATGTAAAGACATCTTCACTCCGAACAGACGGATCAGACTTGACGATGAGGAGTCTCGAGACGAGCACAACCTTATGTGGCGGAAAGCTGCGCGCCGAGAAAGGAAGAGCGCGGAGAGATTAAGAAAAGCTCTTGAAGAGCAAGGGCGAGCCCCCTGGGCAGTACAGTTTGCGCCAGAAGAGCAACTTGTTGATGGGGAGAGGCAGGGATCAATGCTGTCGAGGCTGACTGTCAGGGCCTGGGCAGATGATTACTGCTCCAGCGAGATGGTTTTAAAAGATTTCACCTTTACAAAGGTGCGGTCTGTTCGGATAACCCCTTCTTGAAACCTGACCTTTCTTCAACAGGTTGTGTATGGATGGGAGTTAGGAACGCTCAAGGAAGGCGGGGGATTTCCATCTATTCTTTTCAGGATAAATATTGACATTTTCCATAGCTATCTGTGACTTAATCCGATCAACAAACTACATTGGCAACCTGAACGTAGAGTTCGAGACCACAAGGAATAAAATCAACATTCGACCGGACAACCGCCTTTCACGCGCTCTTTCTACAGTGTGGATCGTAGTTGTTCTTTGGTGCCTTTTGATCTACCCCTTTATATGGCTTTGGCGACGATTCAGCCAGAGGGGAGGGGGTTACTGGGATATGTGTGGAGCCGCCTACGCATTGAAACGGCAAGATGATCCTTCGGCACCCCGTGTAGATGTGACTGTAGGCGCGGAAAGTTTCGGATGGCGATCTGTCACCAAGACGCTCGGTGCCAAGGAAGGAGAGTGGTTCAAGGATTGGGAAGCGACGATCTTGAATGCTGTACGGTGCCGTACACAGTCCTCTACACCCTTAGAGCGCAGACGTGATGCAAGACAAATGCTGGACGGGTATTCCTCATGACTTATGTAGTTGACACTTCGTGGGGGCCAACATGAACTTTAATTTTTTTCGGACTGAACCGCCCATGATTCTAGGTAGCTTAGGGAGCATTGGTTGGGACATCTCATAATTTAGGCAATGATCCCCTTCATTCATATTAGCCACCCCAATCCAAACCAATATGTTGGGAGATCGGACAATCGTAAGCATCCATCAAAATGAAGTAGATATTGGCGCGATCGATCAGTACGACATGCCCGTTCTCGCACACTTTCCCGAGTTAGCATAGTGCAACTTTTCTTTGGGCAACATGTTATGTAAAGCGGCTACTTATTCCTCTGCCCCTAAACCTAAATGCGTATTTTCTGTCGATTACTCCATCACCCTCAACTCGATCAGTCGTTGACGCCCTGCACAGGATCTGAAGAAGCATTGATAGCTTTGCGGTCACAGCTTTACGGTTTGCTTAATTATCTGTTAATTGTTGGGGGGGGGCGCAGTTAATTCCCTTCGCATATATATACGGTAGAGGCTGCCCTATATTAGCTGCCTATATAAGCCCAGTTCGAACAAACAATACTGGTGGCGTGCTTTACGCTCAAGGTTTCATCCATCTGCAACGGTGCTTACCCGGCATGATTCGCTTGCGAAATAGTTCTATGAACGGAGCGGGAACAAATTATTATAAGATGCAATATTGTGCTTGCGCTGTCCAAGTCAGCGTCAACGTAACCGGCCAACTACATAACTACTTACTTAAATCCGCCCGTGCACAACCACATGCAATATATTTGATTGGCAACATTAATATTGTGTTCAATATTGTCTGCAACAGTGCAACAAGAACAAGAACAATATTGTTGATATGTGAAGGTATGTATGCATGTATCCGTCGCAAATCGGGAGGAAGAAAGGACACAACACATAAAACACATAATATTGGTTACCAAGCTAGCAAAAAAAAAAACAAAGGGGTAAAACTCCGCTCCGTGGTATGGTACAGCGTGTATATGGTAAGGGTACTGAAATATGTAATGCATTGATTACGATTGCTCGGCGATGATGACCTTGGATTTTTCGGGTTTTGGTTTCGTTTCTCCCAACCTCGAGTGTATCCGACGATTGTCCTCTTTGGTTTGACGGGCTCGTGTCATTGTCGTATGAAGTTTCCGAGTCTGATGGATGGCTCTCGGTAAAAAACGTTTCCTGAAAAAAGAGCAATCGAATAATTAGAATGTTTTTCAATCGCAATGGTTGGTGGGGGAGGAGGGGAAGGGGAAGGGGAAGGGGAGGTTTCATGTGTGGAAATGTGACGACCGTACCTCTCAATCCTAGAAACGTCAGGATCATATTTCCATTTCTCTCGTAGTTGTGTTCTGTAATCACGAGTGGACTGCTCCTTTCCCGTTAGTATACCGAGCTTTTCAGAAGGGTGTGCCTTCCATAGACGTATGTTCCCTTCATCCGAACCCGATAAAACATAACGAGCATCTCCACTGAAAATTGTTGAGAACACTCTGTTCAAAAAAAAAAAAAGGAACACGGGGGAAGGAATCAGCACAGAAAACACGTTTAAAATGTGTTGAATTGGAAGGGCGTACCTCTGCATTCGCTTGGTGAAATAAGGTTCGCTACCACTCCCTTTCCCTTCCGTCCACACACGAACCGTTCTATCCCATCCACCCGACACGAACTCGGTTCCGGTCGGACTCCAATCGCAGCTCATGACGGGAGCCACATGACCCTTATACACCTGCGTCGCGGTGCTCAGTTTACGAATATCGAAGGTTGAGAGGGTGTGATCTTCTGAGGCGAGTAGGACAACTGTAGGCATCATAGGTGACCAGGACAGTGCGTTCGCTCTCAGCTAGAAGGAGCATGGGGTACAACATCAACGACCCGTTCATTAATTTAATTTGAATTTTTTTTAAAGGGAGAACCCACCTCAAAGACTAATCTTCGTTCTGCTTTCCCCGTTCGAATATCATAGAGAGTAAAAGTTCTATCCGTTCCCGTGGTGGCAAGGACGGATTGTTCGGTCAAGTTGAACTTTAAAGAGATCACGGTTTCGTTGGAGGACGCAAAGGTGATGTTCGAGATGGCAGAGGTTCTATGTAATTCGGGGGGAGGGGGGATGGTGAATTTAAATAAAAAAATAAAAAAAAAAAAAGACTGATGAGAGGCGGTCCCAGTGAATGGAAGCCTCTGCCTTACTTGTTCTCGTCCCAAACTTGGACAACGTTGGAGCCTGTAGCGAATAAAGGAGAGGCTCGATGATGATCAATCGCGCTATAAAAAATAAAATAAAAAAGAAGTGTTCAGTGCGTGTACCGAGGGATTCCTTATAATACAGAAACGCAACTTGAATGCAGCTTTTCCATGATAGAGTGACAAGGGCTTTTTCTGCGCCTAAAAGTATCACAATTCCGTTCATATCGGTATCATCGTTGCTCATTGTAAGAGATAAGGAGTAGAACGATCCCCTCCCCCTCCCCCCCAAAACCAAAAAACAAGAAACCAAAAAAAGCTTACTATGTTAATGCCTTCGCCTGTCTCCTCGTCCAGGACAAGCGCATCGTCACCGTCTGTGGTGACTTTCAAATCCCAAAGCTTCACTAATTGGTCTGCTCCACAGCTGAGTAGCCGGTCCGGCCCAGCGAAACAGATCCCGGTTATGCTACGTTCATGTGCATGAGGAAGTCGCATCAGGTGCCGCCGTTGCGGTAAGTCGTGCAGTATTATCTCTATTTTAGAAAATCGCGTTAAGAAAAAAAAGAGAAATGATCACAATCAATAATGAGATGAATAGTAAGTACCTCCATCGGCGCCTGCACTGGCAATTGCAGCCAAACTATCAGGTTTTCTCGCGATCGCATTCACAGTGTCCGAATGGCCTTCCAAGCTCGCCATGAACGGTTTCGCAAACATACGCTCCAACTTGGAAGCGACCAAAGCACGACTTCGTTCCCTGGCTTTTGCAAAGGGATGCATGTGTGAGCTCAGGTTTCTAGAGACCGGGTTAGGGACCCCAACTTGAGAAGGAGCGAAGACTGATGGGTCATGTTGAAGAACAGAGATTTTCTGTGTTTTGAAGAAGAACGAAAACAAAACAAAAGTTGGTCAACCCTAATTGCCCCAAGCCAGAGGTGCGGGACACTCTACCATTGTCAGAAATCTTTGCTTGTGGCGAAAAACAGATGGATTTCAATTCAACGGTACTTGCCGTTTCAACGAGGCGTGAAACCAAATTGGTCATTGACAATTTCAACTCATTTTTTGGGCGCTTCACCTTCCGAACCCGCAGCAGAGTCACTTGAACAACCATTCCTCTCGCGCAGCTTGATAATTCCGATATCCGCTCGGAAGTCCCAATTACATAAGCGGACGTGTTGGTTTTTGATGGGCGCCTTTTTGAGTCGCTATTATTGCTCTGAACCCATAGCTTTCAGGGTTCTTTGCTATGACATCTTCATCTAAGATCAAAGATTCTATGGGGGCCGCCACCGGATGCATTCCCGTATCTGTTTATATAACTACTCGCTCTCTCAAGTCTTTGAGTATTATACTTGAGGACCCGAATGGGAATCGGGTTTGGGTTTGGGTTGCCCATGCACCTTCCCGAAGATCGACAAATCGCAATCGCAAACTGCTGGCGGTCGGAACACTACTGCACTGCATCTGAAAATACTTGGCAATCCAGGGACCATTGAGTAAAAGAAATCGAGAAGCCATGCATGCATGCAATGCATCTCGCGCCTAAAAGTCACCCTTTGTACTCAAGCGCACCTCGAGATCTCGTCATGGTCGACTGAAAACCAGTGCTTTCTGCATGGCTGTGGACTCTCAGGGCAGCTCCCGAGGAACCCCCTTTTGTGGGGGGACTGGGAGTGACTCCGCCGAATTACATAGGCGCCGCACATTTTTTTTTTTTGCAGGGGCAACCTCGCACGCAGTTTATTTTGGTTCGCGACTCGTACGATCCATCGTACACTTGCGAGAATTGGATGGATTCTATACATATCTCCGTTCTCGGGTGGCTTGATGTGTCCCTTTTCATCCATGCGGACTTTTAGTCCTCGCACGCACGCAACCGATAATTGAGCTGCGCCGCAAAAAACAGTTCCAAATTTTCAAATTGCGACCTCGCCAAACCGTCACACTGCTTTTCCCGTTGACTTCACTTATAAAAAAAGGCCCTCTAAAAATGACCCATGTCCTCCCCCCCTAACTCATCGAACGAGTCTTACGATCCACTCACAGCGCAAAAGAAGTTCATCACAATGACCCACGTCGATCCTGACCCTAATCACACCAGCCCTTACAATTACTCCCTTCCCGACGGGAGACGCAATGCTGGTCCCACAGAGTGGATCTGTATCTTGATGCTCGTCCTTTTCGGTATCTCCACTGGTATGGAAAAATACAATATTATGGTTTTCCCTCTCATAACGGGGACTGAGAACCATTCTTCTTCCAGTTATTCACTGTGTACAAAGCGTCTTGGGCCGTCACTGGTATCTGATCGCAACCGTGGTCTTGTGTGGCGTTGGGGAGCTGATCGGATGGAGCGGTCGCTTATGGAGTTCGATCAACCCTCCCGCTGACTCTCCGTTCAAGATCCAAATATCAACTACCATCATATCGTACGTAATGATGGCTCTCTCTCTCTCTCAGAGATCCTGTTTCCGTGATCTCACGACATTCCCTCAAAAAAAAAAAAATAGGCCTACGTTCCTGAGCGCTGCGAATTTCCTCATTTTCGGTGCCATCGTGAAAGTATATGGAACTCAGTACAGCCGCCTCTCACCCAAGCTCTGTACGTGTCCTCCCCCCCCCCCCCTCTCGTCGTCTTCATCATTCATCCCCTTTAATATGATCTTATATAGATGCAACTCTCTTCATTGTGATAGACGTCATTTCGCTGGTCATACAAGCCGTTGGTGGGGGTATGGCATCGGCAGCCTCAACGGATGCTGCCGCTTCACATGGTGCCCACATCATGGAAGGCGGTATCATCCTTCAACTTGGTAATACATTATATATCAGTCATTCCCCCCTTTTCCATTCTTTCTGATTTGGCATTGTTTTTTTTTTTCTTCTCCAGTTGCCATTATATTTTACACCGCCCTAGCAGCTGAATTCCTCTGGCGTTATACGACTCATAACCCGCTGGCATCGTCGGTAAGCGCGCCCAGCCTAGAACCAGGCATCGTCGAAGATGGTCAAGAACCAAAGCGACCCAATGGAGGATTCCATCAAAAGGTGAAACTACAGCTATACGGACTCATCCTTAGCACCCTATTCTTGTTCATTCGATCCATCTACCGAACGATAGAGGTGCGTGCGCGCACGTCGTGTGGCTCCTTGCAAATATACTTTTTCATGTTGTTGATTTTATGGAACAGCTCAACGACGGTTGGACAGGAAGGATCATCTCCACCGAGTTGTATTTCAACGTCCTTGATGGTACGATGGTCGTCCTTGCGATGTACACTATGAATCTCTTGCATCCTACGTGGTTGCTCGATCGACAGCGACACGAATGAACGTCATGCATTGAAAATCTTTTGGTTAACGTAGTGATGATGGACACGGTCATCCTAATTTGTGTTTGTTTGTTTGTTTGTTTGTTTGTTTTTTTTTTCGGGTCTTTTTTTTTTTCTTTTTTACATAATTCATTACGGTTTTTCTGGGATTTTTTGCATTGTTTGTGTCATGGCGCATGGCCATAATGAGAGATGGCACGACGGAAGTATTAATTAAGGTGCTAAACCAAGATCGAGGAACAACAACCCGGAGCTAATGTAATGTGAAACTTCTTGTGCAATGTGGGAAGTAGCGCCCACAAAGATCGACGGCATGTACTGGCCAGCTGGAAGATCAAAAATCCCGAGCTTGGCGAAGAACCAAAAAGCAAAGCGCTCGCTCGAGATGCAAGCAGGGTCCATGCATAGAGTCGATATGTATATTGGACCCACATTTATTTGTCCCATATATATTGCCGGCCTGCATGCAATAAGGCCCTCTCAAGTTCTTGGTGGGTCGGGAAGGGGGGAGCGAAAAAGAACAACCCCGCCGGCCCGGACAATATGGGAAATTTAGCCCACCCCTCCCACGTAAGTAAAATATGGGCCAAGCCGCCCCCTTGATGATGGGATGAAATGGGGCGCGACAAAGTTCTTCAGGATCCGGATCCGAAATGCACAAACATGCATTTAAATATGGCAAATATGTACTATACGTATGGAAGTTGAGAATATATACTAGGAGGGGCCCAAGGGGCGAAACCCACAGCTAGAAGCGCAGCAATATATCTCCCCCGAATGAATGAATGCCTTGAATACCCTCCCCCCCCCGGCCTCGCAGCAGCGCGCGCGCTGAATGGAAAAAAAAAAAAAAAAAAAAAAAAAAACTAGTAATTAAGCCAAGGCAGGAACCTTGGCAACCAACAGGAAAAGCCATGCACCGAAACAGAGCTATCCCAGAAAAGTTAGTCTTACGTGCGCACATACATGCATCGTGGAGCGGTACTATCCTAAATGAATGAAGCGTGCCGCCCCAAGGGGATTGGCATAAGAGGCCCGGGGGTTTAGGGTATACTGGACCTTCTTATACCTGCTAGGCAGGTCATGTCACCTATGAGTATAGTACCCTGCCTATACCGGACCCCCCGGGAGAGCGGATATTATTGACGTGCACGTCGGACATGTGGCGCGCCTATGCGATCGTGGTAGTAATTTCACTCGTAACCCAGGCAAGCTTATAGACGATCCCCGGGAAGGTTCGCCCTTCCCCACAAACCTACACTCCACACTACCCGCGAAAGCTACCGAAGGTTCCACCCAAAAAAAAAATAATAATAAATCTGGCCCCTCCCTCGAGTCTCTGGCCGTGCGCCGATATCAGACTATCTTTCTGAAATCTCGTGTACAGGATGACACTTCAGGTCACGTCTAACAATGACAGGAGGTTTCTCAGCCGTCTTAGCATCCTCTAAATCTGAAGACAACACTCCATAGTATTGTTAAAGGACCCAATTCGGCAGCGCTCAAAGGCCTGGGTCATTATCCACCATTTAGACAAGCAATCTTCAGGCCGTTCTAGTGCCTCACGTATAAATTGATTGAAAAAAAAAACATGATCGATGTGTGTGTTCCTGCCGGCGCGCCCAGGCCGGGCTAGTTGCAAACGTCAGTGATATTGACACGAAGCAGTCGCCGTGGCTCAGCAGCGCTTCTCGGATGCCTGGGCCTGCGGAAGGTTATAATCATCTGGATATATCCAAAGCAGGTGCTTTCTTGCTTGTTTAGGTTCGCAGGGTCGAGCATCGACCTAAAGCCAAGGGGGATACTTATTATTGGCGGACAATAAATGAAAGGAGTATGAGGCGCGCGTGCAAGGGAGATGTAATTTTTTTGAAATCATGACGTGGCAGCGTTGAAGCGCCAGGCCCCGCCATGATTTCGCATGTTCATCTCGAGAGCCTTCGCCGATGAATGCACACCCATACATGGTCTATCGTTCCAGGGGTTAATCGTCCACGCGTCCAAGGACAAACAATCCTCCAACCCTAAGGTGGCTGGAGGTAATATTATCTGAGCCTCAACACCCACGTCACACATGCTGTTAAGTATATTAGCACAATATGTGGCCCAATACCTAGCTAATCACCTCACCCCGAGAATTCAGGGGCTCTCTCTTCGTAATGGGTCACCTAACGTTTCTCATGGATTCCTATCACGAGCGGAACAACTTGCACCCCCTCTTGATGTTCATGAGATGGCCGCTTCATCGACCTGTTACTTACCGAATAAATCAGAAAAATGTACGTTTCGTTAATATTCTTTTAGGTCCCGCGAGCGGCCCCTGTTCTTTGGCGTTCCTCCATTACTTATTTCATATGCGAGGTTTTTCGGAGTCGCACCCGGGAGCATATACTCACATTTGAACCACAACGACCTGTGTCTTGTGGAAGTACAGCCTTGCTTTGTGATCTCCGGTTGAATCTCTCTCTAGCTTACCCACCTATCCATCAACGAAATCTCATGTTCATATCCGGGGGTTTATATTCATCAAAGACCTGACCGATCACATTCCTGGCGAGAACGGGTTTCGTCTTGGAGATTCGATTTATCAATTGACCGCAAACTCTTTGTTGATCCGGGGGGTTGTGATGCGTACTACGTGTCTCACGTCTGACTGAATAGAACGAACCTGCTTGTCGAAAGGCGCTAAATTGTTGTGCACCCCCAAGAAATCGAAACCGAGTTTTTATTGGTCTTGTGGCGTCCTCTTCGGCTTTTCAGACAAGAGTGCGTTTATTTTTTATGTGCATGCTTGTGATCGACGGGCACTAACCTTATCTGTCCTGGCCTTGCCAATGTACTTAGTCCATAATAATAAGTTCTGATGTTAGCACCTCGTCCGATGATGATATGATACAGGTGTCCATGCCCCTCGGCATATGCCGTACTACACCGACAACTGGCGAAAACAGTTCTGGTGTTGGGTTGGACAAATCCAGTAACCCGAACCGATTGTGATAAAGCGAACTCACACGCTCGACGAACCTGGAGTAGGCACGTGCACGTTTGCGACCCGTAAATGACTCTCTTTGAATTAGGGACATGGGAGAGCCCAGATTTTCTCTATGGCGACGTGCGGCGACGATCACGGTGTGAAAATTATCCCAAGTACTTGTTCATTGACAAAAGTCCTGATTGTATCTCCTGAATGCGCTAAATAGCAGCTCGTCTCCATGACATGCAATCGCATCACTAACTGCAATTTTTGCTGTTCACCTCCCTTGTCTTTGTTTTCACTGTCGTTCGTCGATTCCTTTCGCTCACCAACCAGGCGGGTCCATCTTGGTCCCGACCTTGAACAAACGCTCCTTCGTCCTCGGTTATTTCAGTGAGTTGATAGTTTCTTTTTTTTTGCAATTTTTTAACTGCCTACAACTCTCCACGCTAATTCGGGTCGTCGGAATGAAGACTTGTATAACGGCTGAACTGGCTGGCAACCGAAGCTTTTTTCGCAGTTCATGATAGCTGCGCGAAGATTGATGAGCTATTTCACTGTTCAACATTCCCAGGGCAGCTCTACCAGCGATATTTCCTCCACTCCAAGCAATGCACCGTCCTTGAAGCCAAGCAATAGTCGTAGAAGGCTCGTCAAGAGGCGACCTAGTGGTCCTATCGAACTCTTTCCCTTTCCGACCGTTGAGGATAACTCACCGTCCCATGTCGTCCTTATCACTGGAACTCCCTCGTCTTCCTTGCCAGACGGAACCAGTGCAGCAGCCAGTGCATCCGTCAGGGAAAAGAAACCGTCCAAGACCTCTGTCTGGAAAAAGGCCCTTCCCTTCTACGGCACCTCCAAACGTTTCGAGCTGCCAATTCAAGAGCCTCCACCTTCGGAGGTCAGCCAGACTCCGCTGGAACATCTCAACGCAGTGGTGGACATATCCCCGCAACAACCATCCCTGAGTCGTCGTTCACTCCATAGCACCATTGAACGGCCTTCTACTGCGCCTAGTGCTTGGCGTGCCCCCAGTGGGGACGCTGGAGCTGGGGTAATGCAGCCAACTCTCAAGAGTACGATCAGCAACCCACGGCCTCCGATAAGTCGCTCCAGGTCGTATGAAGCTCTTCCAGAAGCAGCACGTGGACCAGATCGAGTCCCACTCATCTTCTCTCGAACAGCTGGAACGCAAGGACTCAGTCAGCCATCTGTCAAAGCACTGAACGAATTCTCCACCCTTGATAGTTTCCCCATGCCACCCACCAGCATTGTAAAATTTCCCGTCCACCCTTCAAAAACCGTGCCCGCACTGCAACGGCCGCATACTGCACCGTTGAATCATACTAGCGTGACGACAAACAAGAATCCTATGGTCGAAAAACCTCACCAGTGTCCGAGACCTCTAAAGAGCTCGCTGAAGAGGTCCCCGGACGCGCCTCCCGGCTCTTCGGCCGGAAGAGCTTCCCCAATAGGTGGGCACGCCGCCACTTAAGCGTGTTTGTATCTCATATTTCTTTACCAGATCATGGCTTTGTGAACGCTACGCTTGTGAAGAATAATAATGAATCGAGTACTGTACAGAATGTTCCTTCTGAGCTGAGAGATGTGAATCGCCCCTCCCTGTTAAGCCGTTCTAGATCGGATTCCTTGACTTCGCCTCCTGGACTGGGGCGCCCTCCTCACTCCATTGGGCGCAGACCCACAATGCCGAATATCAGAATATCTGGCCAAGACACATCACTGAATCCATCCCCCCAGGGGACGCGGTGCCTCCCAAACAGACTCGGGACCTTCATCGTTCCAACTCCCCTTCGCCATCAATGTTACTCGAAAACCTCCAACTACCTTCCACATCATCTCGCCGCGAAGGGGTGTGTATAGACCTTTATCTACCACTGAAGAAAACGAGTTCGGACACCGACTTACCGCACCTACCCGCGACATCTAATCCTACATCACTAAATTATGGGCTTCAAATCTCCGATGGGAAAGCGGCCAAGTCATCTAAAACTACCATTCCTTCCAAAATCACACCCCCAATCACTGGGCCTCCTACTCTGACAAAGACAAGAGAAAAATTGGATACTGACTCCTCGCGATCGCGCGCGACGTCTAACCCGAATCATGAGTTTCAAATCTCGGACAGAAAGGTGAACCGGTCACCTAAAACGACCCCCTCTTCAGTTATCACACCCTTACCCACAACCCCTACTGCCGCACTATCTGCATCTCTTCCTTACAAGCCGGATGGACACCTTCCCCAACTTCACGCCAAGAAATCGGGTCGGCGTCGCCCCCTCCCTTCTCGAGTGACCTCACCGCCAGTGTCAGACGAATTTGAATACGACACAAGGGAACTGGAATCGGTCACTGGTGGTACCCAGGTACCAACCCGGAAAACGTCATTTGTCGGAATGCGGAGTATCGTGGATGGGGCTATCCCCAACGCTAGCACTGGGTCTACTTTACCGTTAACGGCTACACTGGGCACAGGTGGAGGAAAAGCCTCGGACTTAAGGAAAATGTTAACCGCTCAGCGATCAAAAGCTCTCACTTCATAGATTATATTTGTTGTTTTACTTTGTGTGGAAGTTTTTGTAGCACCACTGGTATATTTTTTTTTTGGTAGTTTTGGAAGAGAGAAACAAAATTGTAATTTAGTGTTTTTAATAAGACAATGGATTTTTTTTCCTTGCGGGTGAGCTGAGCTGAGCTGGGTGGGATGATGACTGCGACCAAGGGATTGATGATGGATGGACGCCCAAAAACCCCCTTGCGTCTGGAGTGCAACAATCTCCTCGGCCTTAACGTCAAAATGGGGATGCGGTATAGCTGCCAAGGCGACTTCCCATCACTGGACTAGGATGGCGAAATATAAGCAAGAAAGCCACCCGATTCTTGCTTTTTATGATAGGAAAGTGTTCACTTCTTCCCAAGACATCCGCTCCTTCTCCTTCCCCATCTGTTGTCCCCTCCGCCGCTCCTCTTCGTCGATCATTTTCCATTCTGGGTAGCTAACGACCCTCTTCCCGGCTCCTTTCGAAGCCTCATTCAAGAATGCAGGTAAACCAGTTGCCAGATTCGTCCCCAGATCCTGATCACCCTGCAAGAGATTGATGCTGGGAGCGATGGACTCTTCGGATGCTAGTTCGTTCTGTTGGGACAGATGATCGCTCACTAGAAGGTCTGAAACGGCATACGCATCATACATGGTACTAGCAAGCACCCCCTTTGCGCCATTTGCTGCCCACCCGGACGCATAGACGTTCTTTATGCGACAGAGCCGATGGCTCTGGTCTGGCGAAGACGACGGAACGAAGGCATGCACGCGTCCAGAGACGTTTCGTACCCTCCCCAGCGTGGAATCGTACCATCCATCAACAACCCCCGTTTCTGCACCATTTGGTGTTGGTGTTATTGGCGTTGGGGATGGAACCAGAGGATCCGAGCGGTAGCCTAGACTGGGAACGACGAGATCCGTGTTCTGTGTCTCCCTGTCACCAGTCCATCTCGCTTTTCCGTCCTGGTCCAGCATATTCAGATTGTAGGTTATTGTCCCCGAGGAAGATGATGACGAATGTGGTGTGCGGAAAAACTGGAAGGAGAAAGTTTTTAGCGTAGATCCAAACGCCATTTTGGACCCCTTCTTGAGAAGGTCTAAAATCCGTGTCTGTTGTCTCGTCAACCCAGGGATGATTGGTGTGGCGGATTTGGGGCCGTTATTTGTTATTTCCACGGCAGAAGACGATGTAGGTACAAGTGTAAGGGGGGAGAATGTCTCGGGAATAATGGGTACCATGGAAGCGTTCGGCAAATTGAGAAGCTCACGCAATTCTTTTGCGGTGAAGGCCACCTGAGCGGGGCCGCGCCTAGACACGATGTTGACATGTTCAACGGTCGATTTGTGCAACTCTTCAAGGACATGCGCCGAAATGTCAAGTGAGGACAGCAGCGACGAGTCAGTGAGTAAAAGGCGAGCGATGTCCAGTGATACGTTTCCATGGCCGACAAGAGTAATGTGCTTCACATTTGACAGTGGAGGTGAAGGGAGATGATATGTGCTAGGATGTCCGGTATACCAGTGGACGAAACGTAGCGCGGTGATGGTATGAGAGGGATCCATGTTCTCTAATGGAAGTGGCCGAGATGCACCATGTGAGAGAAGTATGTGGGTGTAGTAAGGAAAAAGAGACGACAGAGGAAGCGAGACGTTTTGCTTCATAGGTAGGGGTGCAGACAAAGAAACATTTCCAAAGAACTTGAATCGAGGGTCTAGAGCTGTCTCATCAAATTTATGCGTGCAATTCTAAAATTATGCGGTCGAGGTGCGTTTGGTTGAGGATCAATCGCTTCCCGTGCTCATTTTAATGAGCGAGATTACGCGCCTTCACTTCTGGATGATCGGGTGCCACACCATATCGAACCAGTCCATGGGGTGCCCATAGCCTGTCATACAAATGCACTTGGGAATAGGGGAGTCTTGAGAGAACTCTGTGTGCACAATAAAAGGCCGAAGGCCCTGCGCCCACGACCGCTAGTCGAACCGGACGCACCACCATCGACAGGCAGGTTTCTACTCACCATCGAGCACGAGTTCATTTAACCATTTAATCCGTGGGAGTTTCGGTGTTCCCCGACTTAGGCTGACGGAAGACGAGAAGTCGAAGATTTTCCTGATGGACTATGTACTTAAGCTCCGATGCTGTTGCCATCAATCACCTTAGGCAGGTTACCAGCCTTTATTAGTATAGACAATCACCTCGCGCATTCAATGGCTTTGCAGCTGAGGCCCTCGCTTTGCACCAACTATCCTCAGGCTCCCTCTACCACCTTTGCCTGTGCCTTGTTCTATGAAGCTCAACTTCACAGTCGATGCCCCCAACTCGCTCATACATTATGTGTCGAGTGGCTGGCAACTGGTACCTTCAACCGATCCGTCCGTGGACCGGTACCACAACGGGACCGGAGTGATGACGAATGTTATAAACGCAACGGCAACTTTTATTTTTAAAGGACCGGGATTTGGGTTTATGGTGCAAAGCGCCAGAATCATGGAAACTATTTCGTGAATTTGGATGGTGCAGTCAGCGAATACAGTGGTTATAGCCCCATTGACACGTTTCAAAATGTTTTATTTGGGCGAACAGACCTTGCACCTGAACTGCACTCCCTGAGCGTCACAAACGGGGGCTCTGACCACTATTTCGATATTGACTATATCATATGGGAGGCTATCATTGCAGACTATTCAACGTCGTTACTGGTCGATGATTCAAGCCGGTTTGATGCAAACGGCAGTGTGCTCATGTTCGAGTACCTCCCCAGTCAATTTCTCTGGGATATTGGTACCTTTGACAATGGGTCATATGACGATACGATTTCATCAACAAACACGAACTATGCTCGAACCTCCATTGTTGTTCCATCCACAGCTGATGCCGTTGCTGTCTACGGAAAAGTTGGACCCAGCCACGGAAGTTATGCGTGTGGTATAAACAAGACGATAGTCGACCCAGTGCTCCAGACTATGAACGGCAACGCGGGCTTGTTCAGCGACGACGCGATACAGCAATTATTGTGTTACTTCCTTGGGCTGGGCGACCATCTATCTCCAACCCTTCTCACTATCGCTAACAACATCAATAGCGCTAGTCTCTCCATTGACTACGTCGAAGTATGGGGATCCTCCCTTGACCCCAGTACCCCTTTCATCGCTTCCACAACTGCCGCTCGGACATCTTCGCGAACTGCAAGTCCAACCCAAAATAGATCGTCAAAATCGACTTCCACTAATGTGGGGTCGATAGTCGGCGGCACTGTAGGATGTTTGGTGGTTATTACAGTAGCTCTCATAGCAACATTCATTTTCCATCGTCGACGACAACGTAAACGCGACATCACGCCCCGTCACCGAGATGTGACGGAAACGATGCTAGGTCCCGTCTTTGATGCCGCTCCCTATCCCGTCCCTTACTATTCCAGTGTCCTTCGGGACATTGCACATTTAACAAACCCACCCACTCGCCCCTCGGACGAACATGTTTCCTCGTCCGGCCTGGTTCGCCAGAACTCGAGAACTCTGTCAGAATGGACAGCTCCTGCAAGCCAGACGACAGGAAATCCTCAACTTTTCGGTAAGTGATTCATCTCCCCTTACTCCCCGTTGTCGCAAGAATGAATATTGAATGCTAATTCCTTTTCTCCAGATGGGCGGAGAGCTATTATACCCCGAAACGGCCTCGGATACGACCCATCACCACTGTTAGATCTTTAAAATGATCTTTGTAATGCAGATGGGTATAGGGGTTGTGCGTGGTCTTTGTCTAATGCCTAGGGCGCACCGCTTTGTCCCAGAGAGTTACCTTAATTATAATATAATTTATGATATGCATGGGTTTTTATTTCCTTCATATGGGCTTCTGTGATTTATTTCAGATTTTTCCCTCATGATCTAAGGTTGTTTTGCACTTTCCATGCTTTGTTTTGACCGGGCTCTTCCTTATTTGGACGGAAATTGGTCTTCACGATCTGCCGAAGTGCGGATCTCGGTTCCGATGGCCGGTTCCCTGCACATCGCCACCCTCACGTGTCATTACACATGATGCGGATTTCTATATTCCCGTCATGGGTATAACTTCACAACGGCTGGACCGTTTGGGCTGAAAATTTGCATAACTATAGTTCCCCATTTTGAATAATTTCCGTGTAAATTTCGTTGTATGTTTTAATTATGGATCCTACGCAAACATCGTCTTTTCCCTGAGCTTGGACTTTTGATGTCGCTATTCCCGTTATTGGATATCTCATTAACGCATGATCCTTTTATTATGAAAATTTGGGAGGATTAAGATTAGATTCCTTCCTTTCTAATGGCCTATCAAGCTTGTCTCGGTCGTTACTGGCTAATTTTCGCGCTTGCCTTTTAGATATTGTCCTCGTTTTGCCGGAGTTTTAGTCATATCTCCGTCGTTTATGGGTAGTTTCCCCTGTAATTACTCTCATTGGGTCCGTTTGGGGACATCTACATTTCCTATTATAAACACGACTTTGAATTTTGCATTAGTTCCTGAGGAATCCTTGTTCCGTGGTACTTCCATCCTTGGCTACGTGTGCAGACATGGGAAAGTAGTTTCCGTGGAGGTTCTCTGATTGTTTTTATAGTCAAATCTTGGTCGATTGTCCTAATTCTTGTTTTAATATTTGCTATAAATTCCCCCGGGAATTCCGTCTCGTTGATGGTAAGCTTGAAGTATTTTTGCTATTTTTCTTTCTTTCGATTTATCGCGTATAGTCAGAATAATTTGTAAAAATTCGTGTCCTTCTGTTTTCTTATATCTACTTGTCATATGAGGTTTTGTGATTTATCTGGCATATTTCCATAATGGGTTTCCATAGTGTGACCGTTATTTCTCCTACACCGCTCCGATACTCACCTCAGACCGAACACCACACCTCTCGCCACCCTCCTCCCACTCCTCCTCTTCCTCCTCACAACACCTCCACCCTTCCGTCACTCTCCTACCCTTCTCCCGTCCGCTCCAACACCCACCTTCGGACCTGACACCTTTCCTCTCCTCCACTCCTCGCCCCTTTCCTCTCTCCTCTCTCTTCCCTCTGGCCCTCTTCTGCCGACCTTCCACCAAGTTACGGCCTTCCGCCACTGTTCCATACTTCATACTTGGACACCGCTCGTACCTTTGCTCTGAGACTCCGTCATAGTTCCTACCTCGGACTTTGACTCCACCTCGGCTTTAGTCCATTGCATTGGTGACCTCATACTACGTAAACACCATTGCCAATATTCCTCGGACTTTCAACCCCGCCTCTGTAACCTCCGTAAGCTCCGCAACCTCCAAGCTCCACGGATCATCTTCGGCACTTTTGCCGCTTGTAATGTATCTTTTGCGTTTTCCCCTCATCCCTATTTGGACTGCTGCTTCTTCCCATTCTAGCCAGTTAGTCATCATCCCCACTTCCCCTCATCCTCCTGCCCCTCTGGGCTTCACCCTCCTTACCTCCTTTTGGATGTACCACAGGTTCAGCCCTATGACCTTCGGTACCACTCTGCTTCTGTCATCCCTTTGTTCCCATTTGGACACCTTCGTTCCGATCTGGACCCCCTTTGTTTCCTTGTGCTTTCGCCCTCTCCATTATATATATTGGCGCTTGTACATACTCATTTTAGGCCTTTAGTCTAAAATCGACCTGAAATGCCCCCTAGAGACTTCCTGCTCGCCGCCTATGAAATTAAGGACCAAATGGACAAACAGCAATGGCACAGCGCTCCACTTGAGTCACTGAGGCCAAGGTCCCTCCTTGCTAAGTCTCTGGTTCCCCTCTGGAATCGTCTGCCCTCACCCAGTTCTAACACAAAGGTGGGCTTGCAGGGCAAGTGAGTGAATTGCCCAGTGGAGGCAGGAGTGCGCTAGCGGATGTTGGAGCTGTCTGGAAGCCTTCAGGGCTCCGTACTTAGGGAGGCATAGGTGATTGCGGAATATGGGAGCTCCGAGGTTAGTGAAGAAGGAGCAGAGGTAGTCCGGAGGGATCAGAGGTAGTGGAAGATGATGGCCGTGGATGGATATGACACTTGCTCGCTGCTTGCGGGATACCACCATCCTGCTTTTACATAGCGATCTATTTTGGTCGCTAGTGCTTCCTGCAGTGCTGCTGGACATCTTGGGGTGTTTTCCTGAACTTTCTTGTTTGGATCATTTAACAGGATTGATGGTTCACCTCCCTCAAGGGAGGCATTTCTAATGGCACTGGCACCATTATGGTTTTGAATTTCTCTCTCCACCACTCCCTGAGTATTTTGAACTCGGGGTTGTTCATGGAGAGACCTTCCAGATGTGGTATGTCTGGAAGTTCTAGTCCTTCTGGACTAGGATTGGGCCACCTTCAGGGTACTTTCTTTTGATTACCCTGAGGTATGTTTTAATCCCACCTCCCTGTCAGGGGGGCTTCTTTTTTGGTTGATCTAGAGCTCTTGCTCGAGTTTTCCATCCATGTGATCTCATCACATGGTCTTCACTGACTCCAAGGGTATCTATGTTGCCCTTGTTCACTGTTCTCACTTTGTGGACTGGAAGTCTAAACTTACCTGGTTTTTGTCTAACCAGGGGGCATCAAATATGGCATCGTATCTATTGATGTTAATTACATCAAAGTAGTGTTTTTCTACATGGCCATTGATCTCAATGTGTTAGAGACTGGATCGAGATGAAGGAGTTGTCTCCATGGCAGAGGGCTTCGGCCTCAGCAACTCAGACCAGGAGCGCTGTGCCAAGTTACACATCCATGCCCTAATTTACTTATGAGAAGTAAAGGGGGATCAACTCTAGTCAATTTTATCACTGAGGTATAACCTATGTACAAGTTAAGTATATATATGTATAGTTACAGCAAGGGCAGGCCTGTGAATGGTGGGGGTGAGCAGAGCGGAGCTAACGGAGTTAAACATTAGCTGATTGAATATTACCAACAAGTTGGGTTACAGGGTTAGCGGAATGGCAGGCATTAACCCAGAAATGGAAAGGAGGGATAGGCCCGAAGGTAGACTTGCAGGGAAAGCAAGGGAATTGCCCAGCAGGGCCAGGAGTGCACCAGTGGACATCAGAGCTGTCTGGAGGCCTTTGGGGCTCTGTACTTAGGGAGGCATAGGTAATATAGGGGGGGTGACCATCGAGGGAGGTGGAGGTGATTGCGGAATACAGGAGCTCTGAGGTTAGTGAAGAAGGATCGGAGGTAGTGGAAGATGATGGCCATGGATGGATATGACACAATGTCCATGTTTGTTCCAAACAGGATCTGTGATCTTGTTCCTTTCATCCCCATTTGAAGGACGACTGGGTTCTCCAATTGGAGAATTGGGATATGGACTGCATGGACAAAGTTTGGTGATATAGCATCCATTTCGGCTCCACTGTCAAATAGCATGTAGGCTTTTACGCCTGCTATTTTTATATGAGCCATCAGCATTCTCTTTGTTGAGAGTGGTCTGTTTGCAGGGTATTTTCCCGCATCTTTTGAGATGCGGAATTTCGCATCAAACAAGGGGGTCTGTGTCATATCCATGCAATCCCAACCTCCACTCCGGGCTCCCGGAACTCTGAAACTGACTCCGGAGCCCTACTTCCCTTCCATCACCTTCTCCTTGCTGACTCCCAAGAGGTTATCCCACCTCCGGCTCTGACACCACCTTCAGTCTGACTCTGGTGTAGGAGAAATAACGGTCACACTATGGAAACCCATTATGGAAATATGCCAGATAAATCACAAAACCCCATACGATAAGTAGATATGAGAAAATAGAAGGAACTGAATTTTAATGAATTTTGACGAGATTTTACAAATTATTACAACTACATACAATAAAATGGAAGAAAGAAAATTAGCAAAAATACTTCAAGTGTCATATCCGTGCATACCTGACCCCAACCCGACTTCCGGACCTCCACCCTCTTCACCTCCGGAGTCATAACCTACCGTTGCCGTTCCGATACTCACCTTCGGTCTTGGCAAACACACCTCCCCCTTACCTCTCCGACCCTATCTCCGTCCGCTCCGATACTCATCTCGGACCGAACATCGCCCCACTCGCCACCCTTCCTACTACTCCGCTCCCCCTTCACAACACCTCCACCCTCCCGTCATCCCCCTACACTTCCCCCGTCCGCTCCGATACTCACCTTCGGACCTGACTACTCTCCTTTCCGCCACCCCTTCTCCCCTTACCTGTCCCCTCTCTCCTCCCTCCGTTACTCCTCCGCCACCCTTCCGCCAAGTTACGACCTTCCACCGCTGTTCCGTACTTCGCACTCGGACACCGCTTGTACCTTACTCCGAGCCTCTGTCATAGTCCCTACCTCGGACTTTGACTCCACCTCGGTCTTAGTCCATTGCATTGGTGACCTCATACTACGTAAACACCATTGCCAATATTCCTCGGACTTTCAACCCCGCCTCCGTAACCTCCGTAAGCTCCGCAACCCCCGAGCTTTGCGGACCGCCTTCGGCACTCTCGCCGCCTGTAATGTATTTCTCGCGTTTTCCCTTCATCCCTATTTGGACTACTGCTTCTTTCTATTCTAGCCAGTTAGTCATCATCCCCACTTCCCCTCATCCTCCTGCCCCTCTGGGCCTCGCCCTCCCTACCTCCTTTCGGATGTATCACAGGTCCTGCCTTATGACCTTCGGTACCTATCCGCTCCGTCTACCCTTTGTTCCCGTTCGGACGTCTTCGTCCCGATTCGGTTACCCTTTGTTTCCTTGTGCTTTTGCCCCTTCCATTATATATATCGGCGCTTGTACATACTCATTTTGGTTTAGTCCGAAATCGACCTGAAATGCCCCCTAGAGACTTCCTGCTCACCTACTGTGAAATTAAGGACCAAATGGACAAACAGCAATGGCACAGCACTCCGCTTGAGTCGCTGAGGCCAAGGTCCCTCCATGCTAAGTCTCCAATTCCACTCCGGAGTCGTCCGTTTCCGCCCCATTCTAACAT